AAAAAAAGAATAATCCTGTAAAAAAAACTATAATTTCTCTTTATATGAGTTTACAGATTATTACTTTTATTTTATGGTTAATGTTTTTAATAAAAGTTTTTTTCTGTATTTTAATGACATTTACACGTAATGTTAAAAAACAGAAAATATCTGTAAAATAATACAGTATATTTCTGTGAATTTTTTTTTTTTTTTACAGTGTATATAATAATATATGTGTGTGTCTATGTTCAGTCCACTGGCCACTGTGAGTGCCTGTACCCATGACAACCCGTGTAGAAAAGCAGAGCATGCAGCATGTTTTATAAGGGAAAGGCTTTACTAAGCATTTCTAGGACTATCTAACTACTACATGCTGATTTTTCTCAAAGTAGGAATGTTTACAGGATGTAATCTGTCTGTGTGCCTGTCCCTCATCTCTTCAGTTGGCTCAGAGGAATGCATGTAGGGGATGGAGTTAATCTGAAGGGGGAGTGCCGGAGGACAGAGTCTCAGACAGCAAGCCAACATCGAATAAACATTGTTTTTCCATCTGAATCATCATTATGGTTGATATTGAAATTTCAATGCAAAATTAATGTTGAATCACCATTATCCTGTCGATGAAAACCTGATGTTATTAATGTTGATGGCAACGATATTGGAACAACATTGATCTAAAATTATCTTTATAATTGATTAAGCATTGATATTTGGTTTACCGGGCGATCGCTGAATGTGTTGAAAAGTCATTGATTTATAGTTGACCGGGAAACGACGCTGTTGTTGAAAAGTCATCGGCATATAGTTGAGGGGGACATATGATTGTAAATGCATCGATATATAGTTGACCGGGAAATATGATTGCAAATCAATAGATTTTTGGTTGACCGGGAGATCAACTGGTGTTATACCAACGTAACGTTACTGCACCGGGCACAGCTCATTTCTGGACCTGGCACAAGCATAAAGGTAAGCTTGCTTAATGTTTGATATGAATGAATTGTACCAAATCAAATACTAGGCTGATCGTTAACATGATGGTTATAGTGTAACGTAACCGACGCAGTGCTGCAGTCACTAAAATAGATTTTTGTTTTACCACTGTGTAAAAATCTGCCAAGTAGGCTAGGCCTACTTTAAGTTAGCAAAACCTCCGAGTCCAGTCTATTTTTGTGATATTTAGCTCAAAATACATGTATGTAGCCTACCCATTGCTTGTGTCGTCAAATCTATTAACACAACACCGCTATTTCTTCTGACCGCCGGAGAACACCGACGGAACCAACGCTAGCAGTGCTCCACCTAGCGCTACCCACAGAAGTGACTGCGGCGGGCCAGAATTACACAAGACATGACTTACTTTACTTTATTCAATGCAGAACTGTCTCGAGTTGTAACTGGGAATGCCGATTAGACCATCTCGTCGTAATACAAATCCAAAATATGAATGTACTAGTGCTTATGCGATATCACGATTTTTGCGCGAACTATAATAGCGCCTGACAATCAGGCCTGGCGTGAAGGGGGGACTTGGGAGGGCTTAGCCCCACATTACATACTTCATCTCGCGGCACGAATTTAACAAAACAAATAAATTTATGGAGCCAGATCAGACTCATTAATAATTCACGCAAAAAATACGATTCACACATGCGTAGACAATTTCACATGCGTGAAACCTAATTCACGTACACACAAAAAAAATTCACGTGCGTGAAAAAAAAACATATTCACAAAAAGCAATTTACATGCGCAAAATAAAATTATATATTCATAAAATACATTTCACAAATACAAAACACAATTCGTAGATATACAACTGTGCACAAAAACCTTTGAATCTTTCAAATGTACGAGTGTGTCCTTGAATTTGAATGTGCAAATCGTCATTCACGTACGAATCGCCTTGGATGTGTGTGTGTGTATTTTTGAGACTTTCCTGGCAGCGCTTACTCGTAAAACAGAGCAGTCGTACTCTTCTGCCAATCAGATTTAAGCTCATCAATCGACCAATCAGTATCACGTGAGGGCGGGTCTACCTGCATGTTACGTCATCAGCTTTCGACCAGTTCATGGCTGAGCAGAGGTAAGTGCAGTTAATCGTTCATTTCTGTGTTAACTGAAGTTAGAGATCAGTTGAAGCAATAGTTTATGAACTATTAACTGATGTAAGCAAGTGTTGTTGTAATCAGATGTCCCATATCGTGTCAAAAATGAAGAAGGATGATGCTTGTTTTGTTGTATTTTAGACAGCTCTCAGCTACAATCATCACGCTAATGATTGCAAAACAATCATCTGTGGTCAATACCCACCCTAGCTCTCTCAGCACTGGCCTCATCCAGATTGTTCTTATAATGGTGAATAGACCTATTTAATGAGCACCCAGTGTTTATTTGCTATTTGTGTATGTTGTTAAATTATTATTAACACTTGTTTCCCTGCATTTTTCAGGATTACTCCCCTTTGGTGTGACATCTGGATAGCAGTCACAAACATCTTAACTCATGTTGTTTCTTTATTCTCTTTTATACTTTTGTTTTTATGTCTTAATTGGTAACACTTTACTATAACGTTTCATTAGTTAACATGAACTAATAATGAACTGCACGTAAACAGCCTTTAATTATTTTTTGTTAATGTTAATTTCAGCATTTACTAATACTTAATTAAAATCTTGTTAACATTAGTTAATGCACTGTAAAGTAACAATAAACAGCTATATTTTTAACTAACGTTAACAAAGATTATCAAACACCGCAACAAATCTATTGCTCATGGTTAGTTAATATACATTAAGTAATGTTATTGTACCATATTACCAATATTCAACATGCATTTCCTTATGTTTTGTGCTGTATTGTCATCTTAAGGTTTTTAAATAAGGTTTTTTATTGTCATCTTAAGGTCTCACAGGACAATATTGTGAAGCATTAATTTTACTTTGCTTAGTAAAATAGGCAAATCTGATTTTGTGCTGATAAGACAAAGGTACTTATCATAGAGAGGCAATTAAGATTATGCGACTAAGATTACTCAGTAAACTCTATTCAAATACCATCACTTAATTTCCCACGTCCTCTGTCTGCACCTCTCGTACTATAGGTTTTTACTATTTTAAATATCAGGACAAAATCTGATATGTCCTAACAGAGAGGTCTACTGATGACTGGATTGAACACAATTCATTTGTTCACTTTTCACTTGATGTATTTCACGTATATTTATATACTTTAAAAGCAAAGCAGACTCTGACTGGATCTCACAACTCTGGAAGAGATGTATATTTCTCTGTACTGAATGTTCATGATCTTCATATGTAACAGGAACATTAATCATGATCAAGTCATTTTATATATATTTTATTCCCAAAGAATTTCGGAAACTTTCAAATTAATAAAACGTGTACATCAAATTGAACTATGTCTTTGAATCTTTTCATTCTGACAAGAACATTTAATAATGCATGCATAGCAGGGCTGTATTCCTAGAGCGTGTACATATAGTCCGCAGGAGACAAATGAATACAGTAACAATGCATCACTTTCAACCTCTTGTTGAAACAACTGTCAAAATGGTTGGCTTGCAACAGGACTGTTTTCAAAGATTTACAGTAGGAATGGTAAGATCACAGTTCTGGTTGTCTGCAACTTCATACATCGTCTGTCTCGGAAATCTGAAACAATAAAACTACATAATATATGATGCTTAAAACAAAACATGTCTCCTATATATGCACGTCATTACATACATTATCATCAGTTGAATGTGTGGTGGACAGGACATGAAAATCCATCAATACTAAAAATAAATGTTTATGTTCACATGTGGACTAAACAGCAGTTAATAAACTATTGCATCAACTGATCTCAAGCTTCTTTAACTTCAGTTAACACAGAAATGAACGATTAACTGCACTTACCTCTGCTCAGCCATGAACTGGTCGAAAGCTGATGACGTAACATGCAGGTAGGCCCGCCCTCATGTGATACTGATTGGTCGATTGATGAGCTTAAATCTGATTGGCTAAAGAGTACGACTGCTCTGTTTTACGAGTAAGCGCTGCCAGGAAAGTCTCAAAAATACACACACACACATCCAAGGCGATTCGTACGTGAATGACGATTTGCACATTCAAATTCAAGGACACACTCGTACATTTTAAAGATTCAAAGGTTTTTGTAAACAGTTGTATATCTACAAATTGTGTTTTGCATTTGTGAAATGTATTTTATGAATATATAATTTTATTTTGCGCATGTGAATTGCTTTTTGTGAATATATTTTTTTTTCACGCACGTGAATTTTTTTTCTGTGTACGTGAATTAGGTTTCACGCATGTGAAATTGTCTACGCATGTGTGAATCGTATTTTTTGCGTGAATTATTAATGAGTCTGATCTGGCTCCATAATATATAATCTCCTGTTTAACTTAAATGCAAATTTTTTGTATTGTGATTTTATTTTCTGTTTTAGGTGCTCTTACTCAGCAGATGGGGACAGCCGCCGTCACCCAATTCACATGTGCCAGACCGGGCAGGAGGGACTGGACGACCAAATATTCAGGCGTCAGAGGACATTGAAGTGTAAATAAAGAGTAGCCTACAAATAATTAAATAAAAAGGCTAATAAAAATTAATTTGTTTGTGTGGTGTGTTCAGTGTTTTATACAATATTTCAAATGTTCCATTACTTTTTAACATCCTGGCTGTAGATAAAGCAGGCTATTTAATTTATGGCATTACATTTAAAATTAACATTTAAAAACGATTGAAATTCCATTGAAATCACGTGGATCCTTAGTTCAGTGGAAATTTCAACATTGTTTCAATATTCCTGATAATTGAAATACCATTGAAATTCCGTTGATCTATGGACAGGATTTCAATGTTGTTTCAGCAGGGTGCAAAATGATGTAGAATCAACATCAGAGTTCGATGTTGATTCAATGACTTAATGTTGACAACGCAATGTTGATTTAACATAGTTTCAATGACTGTTTGCTATCTATATATGTGGACCCTGGGAAGCTGCTGCTTTTAGGCACAGTTGGACTCTGTTGGAACACTAGAGAACACATCTATACATTTCACCAGACTAACGGTGAGTCTCCTTTTTTTTGTTGCTCACAGTGCATTATGGGTAGGCCTATTCTCTAGAGCAGGGGTATTCAATTAAAATTCTAAGAGGTCCAGTTAGAGAAAATTTCATCAAGCAAAGGTCCGCAACATCACAATGACTAACGTTATCTAATGACTAAGCGTTATCATTCAGTGCCACAGCCTAGTAGTTGTATAAAAATATGTAAGTAGCCTAGTCAACAGACGACTGTCAAATAAAATAAAAGTCCAATTCAATAATATTTCAACAATATTTATTGTCAGTTTATTGAACTGTAGGGATCATAAATAATAAGTACTCTAACAATAAATTATCAATTTAAATAAAATAAAGGCTGCATTTAAAAATAAATGATAAATAAATAAAACAAAACAGAGAGCTTTTGAAAAATGTGCATCTCAAAATAAAGTGCTTAATTTTAGAAAAATTAAATAAAAAGTATAGCTTGAGTTTCCCTTTTACTTTTTAGTTAACTCCCTTTCACATCTTAAGTTTAAATTAATTTTAACTTAATTTTAACATTTTATAATAAACAATCTCAACACATATTAACAATTGAACAGCTTTAACACCTCCTTTTCTCTTTCTTTCCCTTTTATATCCCACTTCCCCACTTTCTCTTGCTTAGTGAGAAAAGTGAGCCCTTGCTTGTCCGGCCAGGATTTTAAATCTGGGCTGGAATGGTGTTAGGGCCATTCTCATACACATGTGTAGGTGCTCGTTGGTGAGCCTGGATCTATATTTGCTTTTAATAATGTTCATTGTGGAGAAAGCTGCCTCACAGTTGTATGTGGAGCCAAACATGGTAAAGATGTACAAGGCTACTTTCCTCAGACCTGGGAAAGCGGTCTCTGAGACCATTTGAAGCCAGAAAGTGGCAGGATCCGTTTTTCCAAAATGCTCTTTCAAGGCCACATCTGCTTGGAGATCGACCAGTTGCATCTGGAGAGGCCCAGCATTTGCCCACTTGAAGAGCAGTGTGACTTCCTTTGAGAACCCCCTGAGATCTGTGATGAGGAATTGGTTCTGAATGAACAGGGTGAGCTGCTGTCCAAAGCTGAAGCTGTCAAAACGCTTGCTGAAATTTACAATCAGCTTGTCAACAAAGTCAACAAAAGAAGACACCTCTCTCTCACCCTGAACCTGTTCCTTCACAGTTGGGAAGTGTGCACAGTCTCCCTGCAGGTCTTCCGTAAACAATGCAAGTTTCCTCTGAAAGGAACGGACAGCTGTCATCAGATCACAAACTGAATTGTCCTTGCCCTGTAGCTTTAAATTCAGTTCATTCAGGTGTGAAGTGATATCAACCAAAAAAGCCACAATATCCATCTTCTTGTCATCCTCCAAAAAGAGAGAAAATGTTGCTGCCTTCTGGCTCTTCAGCTGTGTCAAGAAAGCTGCGATTTCCCCTCGGATATACCAAAAGCGCTCCAACACCCTTTGCTGAGCCATCTTACATTGTTGTGTAGCAGAAGGTCATCAGCATTTGCATCAACTTCTCTGAGGAATTCCCTGAGCATGCGATGCTGATGGGAAGAGGAAGCTCTGAGAAAGTTTATCATTCTCATCATTGTGTTCATCACCTCAGCATACTCGTCTGACAGGGTGGAGCACAGGACTGACTGATGAATTATGCAATGGTAAGAGATGAGTTGAGGATTGTCCTCTTTCATTCTTGCCACAGCTCCTCTCTCTCTCCCTACCATGGTAGGGGCTCCATCTGTGGTTATTGAAACCACTTGTTTCAGCTCTATTGCCCTCTTCGTTAAAATCTCCTTTATGGCCAGGTAGATGTCCTCTCCTCTTGTACTGGTCTGAAGGGGTGTGACACCTAACAGGTCTTCACAGAACTTTTCCTTGTCCTTGTTAAAGAACCTTACAAAAACTAACAGCTGAGCATTGTCAGACACATCAGTGGACTCATCTACAGCTAAGCCTATGCATGGTGCCTTGTGAATTGCTTCATCCAGCTGAGCTAGCACATCCTGGGTTAATATTTCTGTTTTCTTTGTGGCTGATGATGCTGACATAGGTATTTGCTTGATTTTTACACACGTCTTCTTTTTGTTTTCCCTCAAGTAAGGTTTCAGCTACCGCACTCATGCATTCCTTGACAACCCCTGCATCAGTAAATGTTTTTTTATGTTGGCCCAAAATCCAAGCAACTTTAAGGGAACATTCGTTAGCACGTTGTTGGGCAGTGAATGAATGTGTTAGGATTCTGCTGGATCGATCATATTGGGCTTTTAGATCGTTTATTTTCTGTGCCCTCAGTGCGGATTTAAGTGGGTATGTTTGGTCAAACGATTTGTGCTTTGTCTCATAGTGGCGCTTCACATTGCCGCTCTTAATAATCGCGACAGTCTCTGAACATATGAGACATACCGGTTTTGAACTGCCCGTGGGAAGAATGAACATGAAAGAATCTGTCCATTCTTGATTGAAAGCTCTGTTTTCGCTGTCCACTTTTCTTTTTTTTAGAGCACGCCATGTGAAACGTCGTCTCTCTTTCGTCTCGTCTCTCCCTGTGTGTGTGTGTGTGTGTGTGTGTGTGTGTGTGTGTGTCTCTCGCGCGCTGACTCGAGTAGCATCACATGACGATTTACAACGCATGCTATTGGTCTGTGACTTTCCTGGGCCGCGCTAAACCAGTACCATAAATGCTAGAAAAGCTGCGCAGGTTAAAATAGAAACGCTCCGTCAAACGTTAATAATTCTCAATAATGTATGGGTTATTGGTCCGGGTCCGGACAGAACGGCGGCTGGGTCCGGATCCGGACCGCGGTCCGCCTATTAGTGACCTCTGCTCTAGAGTGTACATCGGTTGTACACTCGTTATTGCAGTGCATTGTGGGATGGAATGAGTTCACTCAATAACGTCCTATGGTTTCGGACACAACTACAAATGGCTGCCTGTCCCCTCAAATAGTGCCATATTTAAGGGTATAGGGAGCAGTGATGCGCGGGTCAATGTATAAAAAACCCGCACCCGACCAACGTTTTCAACTAACCCGCCCGCAACTCGGACCGCAAAAAAAGTATGAAAATATTGTACCCGACCCGCTTCCTGACCGCATTTTTTAAAAGTAGTAAATGCTCATCGTAGCGTCATTGGGCCATAGACGTGTAACAACACAGCATCGCAAGAAGACGTACACATAACAAAGCCAGCACTTTGGTCATCATCTTTCATTATTTCGGAGCTTCCACTCCCCAGTCTTCACCTTTTCTCTTGCCGCCTCCATCTCTCTGCAGACTAGTGATCATAGACATGGCTGGTTCGTGAACGAATCGTTCTTTTGTACCGGTTCTTTTTGGTGAACCGGTCGAACCAGTACACTAAATCGAACTGAATCGTTGCTGATCCACAAGTTACTAAAGTTACTCACTTTCAGACATGCCTGACAGTCCCTCCGAATCGAAATAAACCAATATCCCGAAGTATATTTTACTCCAGGAACAGTTCACTGAACTGAGACATGTTGGTGCCACTGCTGAGAGAAGTGATGAGCACGAGCAGCTGATACTGCGCATCCGCGTAAAGAACCGAGAACTGTTGACTGAGCTTGTGTGTCATCTTCGTGCCAGTTATTCAGCCAATAAAGTGTAGGCCGATATATTTCATCGAAAATTATGTCTAGTACTATATAAATACAAAGGTTTAATTTGCATCTTTTTTCAAACGACCCGACCGACCGCGACCCGAAAATCATTAAAAATATTTTTGGATGACTCGTAACTGCGGGTAACCGCGGGTGACCGCAGGCACCCGCTCATTTTGGATCAACCCGCGCATCACTGATAGGGAGTGATTTCGGACACAGCCCATGAATCAATCCTACACTGAATAAAAACACAGAGAGCAACATAGGCTAGATCTCGGCCAACACTATGCTGCTGTCAATCAACTTGGATGTTTAAGTCATTTGAACTTAAATTACATTAAACTGACTTAAAAAATAAGTTGCATCTTGTATAACTTATAAAAAAGTTGCTTAAAGGGTAACTAAACACTAAAACAACTTTTTTTTAGTTAATTATCTGTAAGAATGGAGCTTCATAAATGCTGTTCATTGATTCAAGTACAGTTTTTGACATTTGGGTATAAAGTGTTTTAATTTTCAAATATATGGTGTAAAAACGTCTGAGTGCTGCCCTCTTCAGGTTAAACGGAAAGCTCCTGCAGTAGGGGTACTCTCTGACGTAGGGTACTCTCTGACGCTACTCTGTCACGCCCTTGGTGCGAGCTCACCACACCCTTGGCAGCCCCTGGTATAAAAGCATCTGGTTCCGTTAAAACTACTGTAGCGAGTCAGGAGTTGGAATTACGAGTATTAAAAATGATCAGGAGGATAGATATATATTAGCATCTAGTTAGCATAGCATTTATATAGTTATTTAGATTATTTCGTGTAGCCTAGGTAGTTAATTCTCGCCTATCGCTCGAGTGTGCAACCTGCATTTTACAAGGGATTGCTTCTCCAACGCAATGGAGGTGGAAATGGGCTTCTCCACACGCCAAACGCTGCTCTTCCTGCATGTACTCCACCACCGCAGCGGCGTCATGATGTGAGTGAGCATATATTTTTAATCACAATTTACGTTCCTTCCTATTAGGCTAAAGTTAATCCTTTGGTGTCGACAAACGCGCCGGCGCGATTTGCTGGATATTTTTTCACATAGCAGCAAAATATACTGCACGTAATAGTAATAATAATCCTGGAAAAAATTACCTCAAAATGACTGAATATAAGAATAATCGGATGCCGATAGCGATGCGGGAGTTAAAGGGTTAGTTCACCCAAAAATGAAAATTAAGTCATTAATTACTCACCCCCATGCTGTACCAACCCCGTAAGTCCTTCGTTCGTCTTCGGAACACAAATGAAGATATTTTTGATTAAATGTGACAGCTGGATCACTCCTCCATAGGCTGCCTAAGGGATTGAAACCTGACGGCCCAGAAAGTCAATGAAGAAAATGTTTAAATATTCCATGTCACAACAGTGGCTCAACTATAAGTTTATCAAGCGACGAGAATACTTTTTGTGCGAAAAAACAAACAAAAATAACGACTTTATTCGACTATTCCTTTTCTTCCTTGTAGGCCTGAAACGAGACTTCAAGAGATTTCCACGACGCGCACGCCCGAGAACTTAACTGAAGTAGTTGAAGGAGATCGCAATTCTCGCGCATGCGTCGTGGAAATCTCTTGAAGTCTCGTTTCAGGCCTACAAGGAAGAAAGGGAATAGTCGAATAAAGTCGTTATTTTTGTTTGTTGTTTCGCACAAAAAACTTGATAAACTTATAGTTGAGCCACTGTTGTGACATGGAATATTTAAACATTTTCTTCATTGACTTTCTGGGCCGTCAGGTTTCAATCCCTTAGGCAGCCTATGGAGGAGTGATCCAGCTGTCACATTTAATCAAAAATATCTTCATTTGTGTTCAGAAGACGAACGAAGGCCTTACGGGGTTGGTACAGCATGGGGGTGAGTAATTAATGACTTAATTTTCATTTTTGGGTGAACTAACCCTTTAAGTTTGAGCCAGCGGCTCGACTTGATATGGCTCTGGCCCTGTGTCCACAGACAATTCACCCTCCTCCACTTCAGGTGAAGGTGAGGGAGAAAAGTTCTCGACTTCAAATGACCGCTCTGTTGCAAAGCTACTTGCGTCACTCCATTTTAGCGAGTCTGACAGCAGCTGTCACTGCGGGTCTCAGGTGCACGCCCCCACTCAGCCCCACCCTCGGTTCGTCCCCTCTATCTCCGCTGGGCTCTGCCCACTTTTCCAGCATTTTTCAAATATTGCCAGTGGGTGGAGTCAGGCTCTGACCAGGGGTTTAGTTACCCTTTAAAAATTGCTTAATCTATGTTGATGAGTTAAAGCAATATTAAACATTTGTTGTCATAACTTATTGATCATTAGAATTGTTTACAGATTATTTTTATCAGATGTCTTATAGGTATGCGAATGTTCTTGTATATTTTCAACTACTCTAACTATAGCTAAAACGATGAAGAAAAAAACCCCGGATAATTGGAATGGTGCTATTTTGATTTGTGACCCACAGGACTTTTCATATGTGTTAAGAGTTCAGGTGAGGATAAAAGCTAATGACCCCACTTAGTGTATTAAATTAGTCATTCATTTTGTATGATCCATGGCATGCCAACATATCTTTACAATTTTAAATATGCATACAAGTCTATTTTGGTTTGTAAGTAACATAATTGCTTGCATTCGTGATATTTTGTTAGATTGGAATTTTGTAGCTACTGCCCAGTTAAAAAGAGCATAAAATGTGTGTGTCTGGAGAGAAGCTGACATGGTGTTTTTCTTGTCTTGTTTCCATGGTTACTGCTGAGGTGCTTTGGAAAAAGGTTCTTGCTCAGCTAGTTGAACTACCCTGCTAATTATTCCCACACCTGTGTTGGCACTAGCCAGTAATGTTAATGGAAAATCATCAGTGGTTTTGCTGGATATTACCTAAAGAATCTTGCAAGCACTTTGCTATTTTCCCTTTATCACTATTAGATTGCACTATAGTGATTAGTGATATAAATGCAAATACAATTTTTACACAGGTTTTATGCAAAAAACAAAAACAAGAAATGTTGCACTTTCTTACAATATACCGCACTGTATCGTATTGTAGCGTAACCCCTGTATCGTGATGCAAATCATTATCACAAATCAAATCACACAAATCACAAATAATTAACGTACCATTGTGGCAACTTTATGTAAGAGAATAGTGTATCAGCATTCTGTTTATTTAATGTTACACAACCAGTCAAAAGTTTGCACACGCTTACTCCGTTCATTTTTCCACATTTTCAAATAATGCTAAAGACATTAAAAATATTAAACAACAAAATGTATATTATTTTATAAAACAACTCATATAAAGCACAACGCTTTAGATCACAAGACATTAAGTCAGTCAAGTATGTCCAAACGTTGGACTTTTAGGAAGTTATAATATGACCTAACAAGCTACTTAACAAAAATAGTGTTGCATCATTATTATGGAAAAGGGGAAATCCATTCGAACTGTTTCCAATTGAAATGGTTGTCCTCTCTATTGTTGCATATTGCATACTGTGTGAGTAATTGTTCTTACATTATTTGCCACTTCTTTTAGTGCATGTTTGAATTGAATGAATGCATCTGGCCCATGTCTTTAATGCAAGTGAAGGTGTGGTTGAACGAGAGAGCCTCTTTTAGCATGTGTACATACACCTGGTGTGTGTTGTTGAGGTTGTGTCGCTGCTTTTATAGTTTGTATAAAACATTTCTCATTTCCTTTATCTTTTTTTAGCAAGCCCACCCTGATTCACACTGACCGTTTAAAGATTCAGAGGAAACGAAGACTGACACATGTAAGTTTCTTTCCGTATACCAGTCTCAGGAGACAAAGACCGTTATTCACTAAAGGTTTGCATGCATAAAAATGTGCAAACTGGATAGCATGTGCACAAATGTCCAAGCTTAGTCTTTCAAATGAGAAGCTATTTTATATACTGTTTTTGACCCTCTCTTTCGAACACTGTTTTGATTGGCGTGCCGCATTCAAGGCTTGGAAGTAAACGCCCACTGCTATGATTGGGTAACAGTTTTGCATATTAAAATCATTTTCAACATCCCCGCCATTACACGTGTGGAATTGTCTTTAAAACTTCTAATGTTGAAAAATCTTGGTTGTGGCAAATAAATCACATAAATGACAAAGGAAAGAACAGCCAATCACAACTATTCACAGTTTGACTGCAGCGCTACTGTATAAATACTCAGTACATATCAAACGATCTGTATCAGACAAAGCAATAGTGACACATGGTAAGAACACTGTTACTCACACTTGTGTGTTGCGACATTACTGTCAGTACCAATATAGTCTGCACTGCGTCATCTTTTATTAATTATTCATTCATTTTTTTATTCAGTCTCTCTGAAAACCCTGCGTCGAACTGTGTTGTTTAAAAAACGAATCCACAGTATAATAAACTGATCTGACTGGAACGTTGTTAAAAATAAAATTCATCCACACTTTCTTAATTTTAGGATCACAAGGAAGGCAATGCCAAGACTGTTTTTCCACAACTTGCCACTTCAAAACGTCTTGTAATCCTCAGAGTTTTGCTCTGTCCTCTATATCCTCTATATAGTTTTGTTGCTAAAGTAAATCCTGTGTTTGCGTCTCTCGTATTTCCTACATGACATGCGTGAATCAGTGAGCGGGCCTAAAGAAGCAATGACGTAGAAGTAGGCGTTGATCTTCTTCCGCAGAGGCAGTCTTTCATTGCAATAATGTGACAAAATCCGAAGCAAGTCGTTTTCTGAGCTTTGCTTCAATAAAAGCTGTTTTCTGACTAATGTGGAAGTTTTGAGTTCTGAAACTTTAGTAGTTGAATGTTCTCTTTGAATGTTGAATGATCTCTTATATGTCAGAAGATCAAGGAAAATTAGATTTCTCAATTCATGACCCCTTTAAATGGTAAATTTCTAATTATGTACTAATCTTATTTTACACAGAGACATCTTGCTATATAAACTGAAAGATGGCCGAGCAGCTGCAGAAACTTGTTGCACAGAATATGGATGTCGTCGAGACCGTGATGGAAGTGTTTGAGCAGGGCGCAGAAGTGTTGGCCAGCATTTCTGGAGATTTGTTCCCTTTGTTCTCCATCGCAGCTACGATTATGAAGCTGGCGCTGGATAATGTGGAAAGCAAAGAGGCCGAGTACATGAAGGAGCAGTTCCAGAAGGTGCGAGAGAGCCTGGAAGTTGTTTTTGAAGAGGTCCAGCAGATAAATCAGGAGATCAAGAAGAGCGGCATAGATGCCACCTACTTCTCCGTGGAGGAGAATCTGACCAACCAATTCCGCAAATTCATGGACGTCCTGAATGCGAAACCTGAATTCAAAGATGTCAGAAAGAAAACGTTCCTGGAACACTTCAACAGGACGGGGGGCGACAAAAACTTGCACACTCTGTATAATGCCGTAACCGGAGAAAACTTCTCAGGAGAGTCTGTTCTGGAAATCACTCTGAATTATGAGCAGAAGAGCCGCAGGTCGGTGGAGAATTTCTGCGCTACGCTCAAGAAATTGTTCTGGGTCGGTTTGATCGTCTTACTGGGACACGCGGCGTTGAAAGGCGACCACGACGAGGAGAAGTTACTTCAAGATTGGAACGAGAAGATGAATGTGGTCCAGTCTAAAATGAACGTCGTGATTGAAGACTGCATCAACAGCTTTCCGTCGCAGGCCGAGCTGGAAGCCAAACGCATAGTGAGAGATCAAAGCGACAAAAGCAACCAGCAACTAGCCGTCATGCTGGTAGAGCACCTGAAAAAGAAGTACGACTGGGTGTGCTGGTCAGTCCGCATCTTTAACTCCCCCACGGGCCTGTGCACCAGCATGAAAGACATCCAGGGTTTGACGGGAAAGAGTCGCTTTCAGGTGCCGGCGTCGGATGACAAGCTAAACGTTGTGGTCTCCTACAGCGCCTCGCCTGAACCCGTCGATAAAGCCCGGATACAGAGCCTGGTCTTGGAGCAGAAGAAGATCATGATAATGCCGATGGCCCAACTGCTTTTTGAGACAATCCCTCTCTGTGTAGTCCACACAGTCAAGACCTCATGCAAAGAGTTGGGCTTCTCCAGCAGCTTCTCTGATGAGCTGCACTTCTTTGAAGAGTTCAAGAACTTCCATGTCTTTCTTCATTCTGCTTAAACTAGGCAGGGAAATAGAAATACTATGATTAACAGCTGTTGGAGGATGTTCACACACTTTAAACCACTATAAAGAGTGTTTAACCTCTCTTGCAGTGTTAATTTTGACAGCAAATTTTGATTTAGTTTTAGTCTTAGTCTTTTGACTAAAATGCCATTTAGTTTTAGTCATATTTTAGTCATCTGAATTGTTTTAGTTTTAGTCTAGTTTTAGTCGACGAAATACAATAACATTTTAGTCGACTAAATCTACAGTAGATTTAGTCGACTAAAATATAATGGGTTTAGGTAAATTGTAATGCGTTAATTTAGAATTTCTCTAAAATTTCCGAACTCATATACTCCCGGAGAAAACATCGATTAACCTATTATTATGAATGATTTTTAAGTTTGAACATGCAATACAGACACAGATTTAACTACTGTGACTTAAAAATATCTTAAAATTAAATAAAACCACTTTTCCTAAAGTAGAACATTCTTCTTTTCAATGAATATGCATTCTTTATAACTACTTGCAAACATCATTCTTTATTCTTTCAAGCAGACATATTTATTTGTATGAATTAAATATAATTAATCCTTATTAAAGCTATTAACAAACAGTGAATGCTTTTCTCTTTTTCTTTTGTTGCTTGATCAATATTAAGGACACAGACCGCATTATGTTTATTGCCACTGTAACCCGTGTCGTGGCAAGTGTACAACCCTCACTCTCATCAGTAAGAAATACAGAGGAGCGTGAAGGAAGACACTGCTTCAATCTATGGACCAGCGATCAGAAGACCAGAATTCGCTCAAGAGACTGTGTTAGCAGCAAAGAAGCACAAAGACTCACTGTTAAGAGTTGGGAAAATAGATACGATGTATTTTAAAGGAGTAACAAGAAATTAAAACAAAAGAAAATGTTCAAAAAGACAATAAAATTAAACTCAACCTGTCGATAAAAGAAAATAAACCAGAAATAAATACACTCTTATTTAAATCCTAATTATAACCCTTTAGTCTTTTCCTTTTATCTACTATAAATTTATATTTCCTATTTAGTTTAAATCTAATTTCACCTAATTGACTTTTTATTTAATGATTCTATATAATGTTTTTAGTTATTCAAGTTATTCCTAATTTAATCTATTTAATATTAAGAATAATTTTCTCTTTTAATCTAATTTAAATATAGTTCTTCCAATTTTAACCTTTTAAATGATTTCTTGTTTCACACTTATTTCACAAAATAGAAAAAGATAAAACACTTAATCAATAAATCAAAAGAAATAATCACATTGGGATTTGAAACAAAACAACAATAAAGAAAATAATTCACAGTCCAAGTGTCTCAGAGTGTTCACAGAAATCTCAGCGTGATATGAGATTGTACCAGTTCTCAGCTCCAGTTCAATGTTCCTTCACGAGATCCTTCTTCCGCAACTCAAGTTGACTCACAGTTCAGTAGGAAAAGGAAGAGAAAACCTGTGCTCGATCCTACCACACTATTCACAGTTCGATTCGCAGTTCGATCCTTATTTGGGCATGGCTCGCCACTTTCGCTGTGAAGCAGGGACATCTCACGTGCAGCTTCCTCGATCCTCGTTCAGCATCCAAACTCCGCAAATAGAAAATATCAGACAAAACCAAAAGAAAATCCAGAGGGATATAAAAAGGAAATAGAAAGCAAAAAGGGGAAAGGAAAAAAAAAAAACCAAAAGTACTCTAATATCGATTAGAAAAAGTTTGCGGCAGCTCTTTCAGCTTTAGGCCCGTACTTCAATGCACGTACAACAAGCTAGTTTCACTTTTACTCAAAATCAATTATCACAAAATCAAGTTCTGTTTCTATTTCTCAAAATCTTTATGTTCTATATCTCTAAATCTCTCTAAACAAACTACTAGCTCGCTCAGTCTAATTATTTCTCTTCCCAGATCGCGCTCATTGCTTCTTTCTCGGTGCTTCTCTCGGAAGATGATCATTGCATCATCTCTCGACTCTGATGACTCCACCCACTAAGGCGGCCAACTCTGATTCGTTTATTAGGACCAATCATCGTCTCAGTAAATCAAATCACTCTTCTCTAATTTATGTATTCTTATTTTCTCTTTTCTTTACAGATATTTAATAAAAATAACTGTTTATTCACATAAGTGTCCGTTTCTTTCTTTTCTGTTTCAAAAAAATAAAACATCTTTAGTAACCTGGGTTACACCCTCCCCTCTTAAATACATGCACGTCCCGCTGCATCTACATATTTTTGGGATTGAATCAAAACCACAGGTACATCAACAGAAGAAGCATTTACTTCCTCTAAGGCAGTACTGAATGCCACACTTAGACCTTGCAACAGAGATTGAATCACTACAGTAAGTGGGTTCCCTAACTGGGGATATTCAAACCTTTTTGCAGGTTTTCGCTCTCTCTGCGAACGTCTGGGAATAGCTCCCTCTTCAAACTCTGTGTCGTTCTCTCGTTCACTTTGATCAATTTCAACATCTCCAGCTTCAATCAAACCTGGATTCTCTTCATTTCTGTTTTCACCTTCACAACCAATTTCTGTTTCAGCTCCCTGGGAAGGAAACTCAGAACAGGGATCAATTTCTGGATCTTCTCTCACTGGAATCTCTAAATCAACACGAACAGGTTCTATCTCAACAGAAGGAGCTTCTGCTTCTCCAGATTCAGGTAAGTTCTCTCTCACAGGTTCGTCCACAGGTAAGTCAACAGGGACGTTACAAGGATTTCGACAAGGTAAGTGCTCGGGTCTCACCAAAACTCGGGTTTCAAAATCCAATGTATCCCTAAATGCAGGATTAATGAATCGATCAGTGTCAGACTCATATTCACACTCAGATTCTGGCTCGTGTGAATCATTATCTGCACAGGCTCTAGTTCTGGGCCTGCGAACCCTTTGCTTACGCTGTTCCTCCTGTTGACTCGGCTGCAAAAATCCAGAAGGCAACAACAAGCCACGATGTAATGTCCTGAGGGGACCACTCTATTTACACCGGTAAATCTCCCGCTCTTCTAACCACTTCTTGAACTCCTTGCTCCCACTTGTCTGCGAGCTTGTGCTTTCCTCGCAACCTAACATTGCGCACAAGAACTCTGTCACCCTCTTCCAAAGTTGAATCAACCACACGTTTATCAAACCTTCCCTTGTTGCGCTTTGCTATCTTAGCAGAATTCTTCTTAGCTATGTCATAGCTCTCTCGTAACCGTTCTTTCAAATCTTTAACGTACTGAGAGTGAGATTTACCTGGAGATTCTGCTGGCAATCCAAAAGCTAAATCTACAGGCAAACGAGGAAGACGTCCAAACATAAGCTCATAAGGAGCATACCCTGTTGTATTATTACGCGTACAATTGTATGCATGTACCAAGGGCTTTACAAACTCCTTCCACCTAGACTTTTTCTCATTCTCTAGCGTTCCCAACATTTGGAGAAGCGTCCGGTTAAAACGCTCTACCGGGTTACCCCTGGGGTGATAAGGCGTAGTACGAATCTTGTGAATACCCGCTACCTGACACAACTCTTTTATTGTACGGGATTCAAAATCAGGTCCTTGGTCACTATGTAGCTTTTCGGGAAACCCATAATGTACCAGGAAGTTTTCCCACAAACACTTCGCAACTGTACGAGCCGTTTGATTCTGGGTCGGTACTGCTACGGCGTATTTCGTGAAATGATCCGTAATAACCAATATGTTACTGGTATGACTGCGGTCTGGCTCTAATGACAAGAAGTCCATACAGACCAACTCCAAGGGTCTACTGGTTTGAATGTTAACCAGGGGAGCGGCTCTGTCTGGAGGTCTTTTTCTACGCACGCAACGTTCACACGTCTTGATCTTTTTCTCCACGGCTTGGGACATTCTTGGCCAAAAGAATCTGGACCTCACCAAGTCTAAAGTCCTCTCAATACCTAAGTGCCCCATATCATCGTGAAGACTACGCAACACCATGTCTCTTAGTCCAACTGGCAACACTAACTGATAGTGAGAAACTCCGTTCTCTTGCTTCTTCCTATACAACACTCCGTTCTTCAACTCAAATCGACTCCATTCTCTCAACCACAATGCTAAATCAGATGGCTGACCCCTCAGGGTACCTGGCTTAGTTCCATTTCTCATCCACTCAACTATCACCTTGAGCTCTGGATCTTTCTCTTGCCATTCTGCCAATGCTGCCTCAGAGAGATTGGGAAGAGCAGGCAACCCATGCTCAGTCTCATGTTGCAACTCCTTCGGCAAAGCATTAACACAATGAGCGAGAGACTCAACTAATGTAATAGAAGGGTGTGTCAAACTGAGACTTTCAGGTAAACTAATCACCTGATGCCTTTCACAAATCGCTTTCACTACATCAGCCATGAGAACATCAGACTTGTTTTCAGGATCTGCAAGGTGATGAAGTGTAAACTGATGAAGTGTTCAATTCTTTCTCGTTCTTTCTGAGAGACCAAATCATCTAAAGGCTCACCATGTGGACGCCGGGAAAGACCGTCCGCATCCTGATTTTGACTCCCAGCCCTATATTGGAGCTTGAAAGTGTAGGTTGACAAACTAGACAGCCAACGGTAGCTGGTAGCATCGAGTTTCGCAGATGTTAAAACGTACGTCAAGGGATTACTGTCTGTTACAACAGTGAAGTCGGTACCATACAAATAATCACTAAACTTAGCTGTGACAGCCCACTTCAATGCAAGAAATTCCAACTTATGTGCCGGATATTTTGCCTCACTTTTTGTCAATCCCCTACTGGCGAACGCTATCACTCGCATCTGCCCGTCCTGCTCCTGGTACAATGCCGCACCCAGCCCCGTAGTACTATTATCAGTGTGGAGCGTATACGGAAGTCTGGGGTCAGCAAAGCCCAGGACAGGAGCAGAGGTCAACTTTGAAATAACATCATCAAACGCATTCTGACATGCATCAGTCCATCGATCACCAAACTGCTCTTTCGTGTAAAAAAACTCGCTCCCCTCTCGTTTCCCACTGCGGCCCCTGCGAAGTGGAGGGTACCCCTCAGTGAGTCCCGTGAGAGGTTTGACTATTTTCGAGTAGTCACGCACGAACCTTCTATAATACCCCGCAAAGCC